AAAATAATCCGTATAAACTACGTTATAAACAAAAAATTGTAGGATTACTTACCGAGTGTGTACCCTTTGACTACGCTCGTTGCTAAAGCTTGTTTTCGTCGCGGAACAGCACATCAAATGGCGGCCGCAATTTCTGATATTATTTTTCTGCGAAAACTTCGTTGACCTTTGGAGACATCATTAATATAAATAATTTTTATGGCCGTTGAATAAGAAATGTTTCTTTCACAAGAAACGTATAAAATTACAGTGCTATATTAGACTTACGGTACCTAATTTACATACTGTACAGACGATAGCTAGCCTAAACTTTCCATAGCGTGGCGCTAGACGGCGAAAAATATATATATAATTATAATAAAGTTACAATAAATTAAGTTAATATATAATTATATATATAGTACCTAATTTATATATAATTAATATATAATTATATGTACAGTACCTAATTTACATATAATTTATATATAATTATATGTACAGACGATACTAAACTCAATTTATTCGCCTAAAGTGTCCGTAGTGTGACGCTAGACGACGGAAAATAGTTCGGCTGCCCGATGACGTTTTACGTAATTATAGGAGTTATTTTTGCCGTTGTTTACGGATACCGCCGCAATTTTTTCGCCATCTTATAGGAATCGTAATTATAGGAAACAGTTTTATAGGGGGATCTACTGTATATCAAACTCCTGTACATTTAATCCAGTTACATGAGTATGGATCCCATAATGGAAAGGAATATTAAATTCAAATAGTAATTCTTCTGTAGTTTACAAAACTTAAATAAATTTTAAAAAGTCAAAACAAAAATGTATAAAAATATTCTTTATAAATAAACTTTTTGCTATAATATATCAGATAGTTCAATGAACACTGTTTTTATTGTATTTGTTAAAAATAAATATTGAATTTATTCTAATGCTTTAAAAAAATAGAAAGAATAATCTACAATAGTCAAATCCAGAATAAATTATGAAATTTATTTTGTTTTATTTAAACAATTATTATTTTATACTTAGTTCATTCATCATAAAATTTTTAAAGTACAGTAGAATCTGCTAATTTTAACCACAGATATTATCATCAGTTATTTAATGTTATAAGAATTATCATGATCAATATGCTGACGATCACGCCAAAATACTATATTGTAAAAAGAGAGGCACTGACATCGGCGTTATGTGTGCGTTTTTCTTTAATCGCTAGTACTTTCGACGAACATATAGTCGTCGTCATCAGGCAAATTACCGAAAGAATTAAACGGAAATAATCCGATTTGGAATAGAACGCTTTAAATTTAAGATGAAACTTTAGTCAAAGTCGTTAGGAACACGATAGAAATATTCAAAAATGTTCGAAAAACGAACGAGCAGAAAGCTCCATGATGTGCAAATACGCGCATGCGCAGATCTAAACACACACTATACGCATTCTGGAGAATGCTAATTATTACTTAATTGCTTGTATAGTGTGACCCATACACTGGGTAGCTCGAGAGTTGGAATGTAAATTGAGAAGTCGGGGGTTTATGCTGTACCTCTGGAAAACCTTACAATGGGAGTAAACGCAAGATATGTCGGGGCCACTAATAGAATGCTTGCCAGCCGACTAGAAGAGCACCAAAACGATGTTGCGAGGGGTAGACACACCACCGAGCTCGCAAGAAAAGTACTTGAGCAGGGTTACAACCCGCTATGGTCCCAAGCGGTTATGCTCAAGAGCTGTAAGGATCGAAAAATCGTATTTATATGGGAGTCTCTTCTTACTACCACCTTGGACACGTGCAACATTCCAACTCTCGAGCTACCCAGTGTATGGGTCACACTATACAAGCAATTAAGTAATAATTAGCATTCTCCAGAATGCGTATAGTGTGTGTTTAGATCTGCGCATGCGCGTATTCGCACATCATGGAGCTTTCTGCTCGTTCGTTTTTCGAACATTTTTGAATATTTCTATCGTGTTCCTAACGACTTTGACTAAAGTTTCATCTTAAATTTAAAGCGTTCTATTCCAAATCGGATTATTTCCGTTTAATTCTTTCGGTAATTTGCCTGATGATGACGACTATATGTTCGTCGAAAGTACTAGCGATTAAAGAAAAACGCACACATAACGCCAACCTCAGTGCCTCTCTTTTTACAAGAATTATCATGTTCAAAAACAATATATACTTACAAAACCTTGTTTGTTGTAATCAGAGTTTTTGTTATAATTATCATTATCTTAAGGTAAACAGCATTTTTAAGCTGTCTTTTTGCACTGTAAACTTTAATGTACAACTGATGATAGTGACAATTAAATTAATAATGATTACATATTTTCAGTCTTAATCAGCACTTTAATGTTTAAGAATTATATAAATTTAATTATTATTTACTTCCAATAAATATAGTAATGTAAATTATGGCTTTTCTTATTTAAATTCTTTTACAACCAATTAATAAATTAATAAGTTACATATTTTTGAACTGTTTTCACATGCTTTAATGTAAGAGTGAATAAAACCAAAACTTCCATTTTTTGCAGTCTTATTTACTTAACTCTGCTTAATGTTATCAATCATTTGTTATATTTTACGTTAGAGTGTTGACTGTTGACAGAATTTAACAACGAGCATACGCTCATATCGCTGCACTAGCAAAGGGATAACCATGCGGATGAGAAGAAGTGGGACTTTGACGTCATCGGGTGCACTAGCGCACATTTGCTAGCATTTTGCTGTTAGAGCCGCTGCAAACTAGTGCTTTACGACAATTATAAACATTGTCTTACCATCTACTAATTATCATCAACTATTAATTGAATTCTAAGAGGAAATGCACCAGAAAAACATCGAGAAAAATTATCACAAATGATACAGAGTTTCTGAAATGCAGGAATCTAATCCATCTAAGATATAATCTAAATTGAATATTTAGATAACAAATTTGAAAATTCTTCCATTTCAATACAGTAGATCCCCCTATAAGATGGTAGATACGTTCCGTTCTTTATGAATCAATTTTGTAGGAATCACAGTTTACGGACTACGGCTGTTTGAAAGGTTTTCTTCCATAAAATTAATCGATTCTAGACTAATTTGACTCAACATTTCCAAAATACGTATANATTATTATAATTGAATTTTTATAATTAGCATTGTTTTAAGTATTAATTTAATTTCAATATTTTTTAGCAACATGAATAAATTGTAAAATCTTTTGAAAATATAGTAAAATGTTAAAATATCACTTACAACTATATCAAAATATGAAGTTCTTATTGTATAATTTAAAACTTCTTCTCTAACTGATGCAATTCGTCCTTCCATCTGAAATAATTTTTATACTATAAAAACATTATACAATATTATTTTCATATTAAAAATACTTTTATAATATGATTTAACTTTTTACAAAGTAAAATTCACAAAACAATTCTATTATTATTTTATTAAAGAATTAAAAATAAAAAATAGTACAAAATTTTCAAATTCTTAACAGGTTCAATTTCAACAGCTGTATAAAAAAAAATCATCATCATAACAAGTTTGATATAACCTAATTTAACTATAAAAGATAAATTTTATCAACATTCTAAACAAAATATTTCATTCACATCTACATAAATTTACATTGGTATTTATACAAGGAGTTATCAAAAAATATGGTGAATGGTAGAAGAAAAAGAAAAAAGTAATAAGAACACATGAAACTTGCGATTAATCCCCCTCACAGTAGTCTCCTCTGTTTACAACATACTTATTCCAGTATGCTTGCTACTTCTCAAAACACTCTTGAAAATCTTTGTGCCTTTAATTGGGCTGATGTGGTTGCTTTGGTTTCAGAAATTGTCTAAAAACAATTTCCTTTCATTGTCCACTTAACTTTGAGAAAGAACAAGAAATTACTTGGTGCAAAACCTGATGAATACAATGGATAGGAGGAACATGGTAATGTTCTTTATCAGTCAAAAAATTGCCACATAAGCAATATGTGACAAGGAGCATTGTCATGATAGAGAATAAAACCTTTTGTCCATTTTGGCAGTCATTTCCTGCATACATCATTTTACAAACATTCTATTATTCCTTATAGTTTTCAGAGTTCACTGTTGTTCCTTTAGGTACAAACTCTGTTTAAACAATTTACTCCATATTGAAAAACAATATCAATTCGACGTTGGACCTTGATGGCAAGCCTTTTCTTCCTGGGAGAAGAAAGTGATTTTGAATGAGAACTCTGAACCTTAGTCTCAGGAGCCTAATCATACACCCACAACTTATCTTGTGTGATGATTCTTCTCAATGGTTCACATCTGAAGTGGTGCAATCAATCATGCAACTCTAATGAAATTGAAAGACACTTTTTCTTCTGTTGGGAGTCAAAACACATAGGATGAATTTCACACTCATATGCCTCATGCTCAAATCTGAAATTAAAATGCTTTGAATCAAACTGTATGAGATATCCAGATTATCAGAAATATCCTGAATAGTTAATCATCTGTTTGATTGAATAATTTGACTGACTTTCTCAATATTTTTGACAATCTTTGATGTTGAGCTTTATCTTGTCCTTTCTTCACCCTCAACCAACTCACATCTTTTGAAAAATCATTCGAACTATTTGTAAGCTGTCTTCAAGGTCACTGCAACATCTTGTAAACTAACAAACATTTTGTGAGTTTGACACTTTTTTTCAGTTTAAAACAAAATTTGATGATGTGTTGTTTGCAACAACACACTTCACAAACTGTCAGCCAAACACAGTATTAGAGCAGAGCAAATTCATACTTGTTAGATAATAAAAAAATATAATAACAATTTGAATTCAGCATGGAAGTTTTGCCATTTTCTGACAGGTTTTGCGGCAAAGTGTGCCAAAATTCATTGTATTTTTTTCATCACCCCATATTTTAATGATATGCCTGATTTTAGTTTTAGTTGACAGAAACAAATTAAAAAGTTTTTACTTAAATAATATTTTATTAAAGTTTATATTGTTAGAAAATATCAAAAAATGACACTAAATGACAGTTCATTATTATTACAAACTTAATACATTCTGAAGATGAGAAGTTTAGATCCTTGAAAGTACAAAGTAAATTAAACTGTTAAGACTTATAGAAAGTGGCTATATTTTATTTTTTTATTTTTAAAAATAGGATTGATAAGAATCAGTTAAATGAGTTAACAGTAATACAGCAGAGTCTCGAAAACTCGGCCTAATGTGGACCGAAGTGTGGCCGAGTTTGTGAAAATGCCGGGTTATCGGGAATGGGGTTAAAAAAAATAAGTATGAGTGTTTCCTCAGAAAATACTGTACTGTACTTGTATGCATTGTTTACTTGAAAATACAACAGAGAATAAACTGCCCAAATACCCTTAAACAAAGGAAAAGTACATCCTTTATGAAGGCATAGAGCCTTTACTACATGAAAATGAAAATTAATGAATACACTGTGTACAGTAATTTACCTGATAAGACAGACCTCAGAAAAATACTTTATGAGGCATAAAAATGTCTATAATGAAAATTAATTAACTAAGGATTTTTTTGCCCTTCCAGGGTGTGGCTGAGTTATCCGGACTGCCGGGTTATTGAGTGCCGAGTTTTTGAGACTCTACTGTATAAAGTTTCTAAATTTCTAGAAATGTATTGTTTTAACAAATCCCTTAATTAAACTTGTCAAATCATTCACTATTTTTCAACATGTTTTTCTACAGAATCATGCCTGTGTAAAATTTAAAATTCAGTTAATAATCAGTCAAAGCTAATACTAATTGCTATTATTGTCATGCAACTACTTTCAATTGAGTTTTGTATATTATTAATTACCAGTTGGTTCCAAATTTTATCTATCAATCAATGAATTTACTGAAATATAGTGGAACCTTGCTTAACAAGCATAATTTGTTCCAGAATCTTACTCATAATGTGAAACAATTTTTCTCATATAAATTAATGTAAAATACGATTAGTTCCATGCTGAAAAAAATGCTCAAATATTTTATGTATAACATTTATTCAAAGAAAATTAAATAATATACATTGTTAAGGAGCATAATTCATCATCATCTTTTCTTCTAACATGGAATGAACCAACCTGGAATGTGAAGTCAATTTGCAGAAAAAAAAATCGAAATACAGTACAGTAATTTCTAATATTTAATTACAGTAGAGCATCGATTATCCGAATCAATTGGGGACTAGGGTTGTTCAAAAGATTGATGTTTCAGATAACCGATTATATATGAAAAAGTATATTAATTTATCCCATGTTGAAATTTTTCTCCGTTGCATGTCGCTTCGCGTTGAATTTTCGTCGATGGTAAGCCTAACGAAGACTATTGTATCATTAAAAATTATTTTTTTATTTTGTACAAACAAAATAAATATATTGAAAAATATAAAAACAATAAAAAATTATACTTCAGAAGGTAATTTAGTATCAAAAACGTAAAATATTTGAGTAGCCCAAGATATAGCCAAAGATTGCAGAGCCACAGCACTAGCGAAAATTTAAATTTGCCGACTGAAATTCTTTCGGATGATTGACGTTTCGGTTGATTGACTTTCGGATAATCGACGCTCTACTGTATAGCCTTTACATAGCCCAAGGATTTGACATGTTTATTATATAACAAGCTATGGTTGTTGATGTTTATGTGTAATATGTCTGAACATAAGTTTGGAAAAAATTATTTGTGATCATAAGTAGCACTAAGATGCTAGCAGAACAAGTGCTAAACACAGAATGTTGTAGCATGCACACAATCCAGGACTTCCCCTCTCCTTGTCACTCGTTATGCAAAATGTTGCTCACTAAGCAAGTCATTTTTTTACAATTTGCTTTGCTCATTATGTGAATTACTTGTTATGAGAGGTGCTCGTTAAGTGAGGTTCCACTGTAATGAAAACATAATTCGGAATTTTTTTCATCAATTACTCCTATATTTTATCACAGAAATCCATCAAGTCTGTTTAATGTCATTTGTGTATAAAAAAAGAAGAAAATATCAAAACATCTTCATATAGATAAGTTTCATACTTTAGTTTAAATAATAGTTAATCCAAATTTTAAATTATATATTTTAAATTGATTCTCATAAATATCTTAAAATATATTAAATGACAAATTAATTGGGTAATTTCATCTAGTTTCAAAATTTACTTTGAAGAAAATTTATTTTAATTTCAATTTGAAAATTAATTTATTACTACTATTACTATATAATGTATAGTATTGGGTTGAGTAATAAGTCTTTGCATTTTTTATGTTTATTTGAAACATTTTAACTTACAAATACAAACAATTAATCAATTATATATGATCCATTTAGTTGTATCACTAGTTGTCATCTTTCTAGCAATTTTCTCAATTCCTCTTCTGAAAATGTCCTCAGATTTTGAGGCAATATATTCTGCAATAGCATTTTTGACTCCAACAGTTTGACCAAATTTTTTTCTATCTAAATAATTCTGTAAAGATCTAAACAAATAATAATCTGAAGGAGCCAAATCTGGAGAATATAGTGGATGAGGTAAAACTTTCCATTGCAATTCTCTTATTTTTTCTAGGGTTGCTTTGGCAACATGTGGTCTTGCACTGTAATGATGCAGTATAATCCCCTTGTGGTTTACTAGCACCAGTCTTTTGTCCTTTAATGCTTTGCTTAAACAGTCTAATTGTTCACAATACATGTTGGCATGTCTAATTGTTCACAATACATGTTGGCATTTATGGTTTAGTTTGGATCTAGTACTTCATAATATACTATTCCCTTCATATTCCACCATATGCACAAAATTACTTTTTTTTAGATGCAGCCCACTTTTTGGTGTTGATGTTGAGAGCTCTGTTGGATTTAGCCACGATCATTTCCATTGAATATTACTGTTTAACATCCACTTTTCATCTCCAGTAATTACTCAATCCAAAAATGGATTTTTCTTTTGACAATCGAATACTAATCCAGCAATAGTTACTGGTTGTGCAAAATCAGTTTCCATTAACTTGCAAAGAACCCACACATCTAATTTAGGAACTTTTCCAAGCCTTTTAAGATGATTGCATATACTTTTTTTGGTTTACATATAGTTTTATTGCAAATTCTCTTGTGGTAGTTCTTGTATTGGCTTCAATTAGAGCCTTTAGACCATCACTATTGAATGTGATCAGCCAACTAAAGCAATCATCATCTTTCCTGCTAAGATCTCCCTTCCAAAACTTAGAGAACCAAAACTGAGCTTTTCTCACCTTTAAAGTGTCAGTGCCATAAACTTTGCAAATTTCTGATGTCACCTTATTGCATTTAAACCTTTTCAAAAACAAAAAAGCAAAACATGCCTCAGATGGATGTTGTCTGCTTCCATTTTAGAAAACTAGAATGTTCATAAAATTAAAACTATTCAAATTAGTTTAACAAATTGGTAACATGTCACCACACTTAAACTCCAAAAGTCACACTTCTCTGTGAAAATTGACTGCTATTGTAAAAATGTTTAATTGAGCAATAAAAATTGCAATGACTTATTACTCAACCCAATATATTATTGCCTTTTAACATGGATAATTTAGAAATTTTATGCTTTATTTTTTCAGGATATGTAAAATTTGGACTTTCAATATTAATGTTTCTGATTATACTGAAGAGATTTAAACTGAAATAACTTAAATTTTGTTCTTATTCATTTTTTATAATATATGGATAGTATACGTAATTTAAGTAATGGACTATCCGTAAGATCATTATTTGCCAAATTACAAAAATTTAATTATTATTATTTTATAATTTAGTTTTCATTTAAATAACCAAATTAGATTAAATTTATTACAGCTAAAAGCCAAATTATTTAATTCTAGTGTATTAATTAATAAATAAATTATTGGCATATAAATTATTAACATATTAAAATTTATACAAATTTTAGTATGTTAATAATAATATATGCCAATAACTTATTAATATGTTAAAAACAGTTATGTATAACATCATAATATCAGTTTAATTTATAATTTTATTCTATTTCATAATTATTCAAATAAAATATATACCATTGTACTTATTAACCACAGAAGAAAAGTAAATAGTAGATCAAATGTTGTGAGCAAACAAAAGAATCTTCGAACTGGAGACATCTGTCCTGCTAAAGATGTTCCTATTTTTAAATCTTCATCATTAAAATGATTCAAATATAATGTGCTGTAGGCAGAATTGATAGACTGATAGTCTGTTCTCATAGAAGGTCTTAAAGGTGGAAAACTCTGCAAAGACTTAGAACCGTAATTGCCCATTTTCTTTCTTACACAAAATATAGATGATCCTGTAATAATAATAATACTGCATTACAATTTAATCATATTTAATCTTAAAATTGATTTATATTTTGAAAAACTACATATATAAAATTTAATTAAATTCTATATTTAAAATTAAATCAAATTCTTAATATTCTACACTATTTGTTTTAAGAAGCCGATTTTTTTATTACAGATTAAACACTTTTTGAGACAAATAACATCTCATCTTTAGTTTAAATACACTTGAAATTAAGAACATCTAATTGAAACAGCGTTTTAACTATAAATCTGTGGTTTATCTACAATTTATATAACTTTTTAAGTCAGTAAATGCATTCATTCCAATTACATCAGAATCCTTACATGTCTAATATCACTAAATCTGTAGCACATACAAATAAAGTAAATAATTATAATTTCAGAATATAGGTTGTCCTCATTTTATGGCAGTTTGATTTACAATTCACAATAATTTTCCCAAAAAAGTCTTATGAATGTTTTTTTCTATCACATGTAGAACATTTTTTGTAAATGTTAAATGCAAATATAAAGATTTAGCAAATTTGATAAAATATTTAAATACAGAAAAAGAGAAGGAAATGAATAATGATAAATCACATTGTGTTTTAAAAATAATAACTATTGATGCCTTTAAATGATTTGTTGCTAATGCCAACCCTTTAATAAAATCAGTGTTAAAAAAATGGACACCTTTGATGATGAAGTGACTTTTGTGAACCTAGAATGGTCCCAGTCTAACCCCTCTTCACATACAGGATGGAAAAATTAACGACTTAAGGGAAGATCAGTAGGATCTCTCTTTATCAGGGTCCTGACACCAGTTGAGATAATTTTGATCATGTCTCAACTCATAACAAGTCTATTCTCTAAGTGGATAAGAGAGTGTAAATTTGACCGGATTTCTAGGAGGGTATTATATTTGAACATTTCTATTGTAATGTGGATTGACGATGGAGTTAGGCACTAAAAACTCTAATGGGCAGTTTAAATGTAATTATATATTTATTATACAAAATTATGATTTAAAGTGAATACATATAATGACAACTATGATAAAACTAGAAATATTCAAAGCATTTAAAAGAGGGACAGTAATTAATTTTAAAGAAATGGACTCATTAGCAACTGCGTAGAGGGCATGCTTTGACCTACAATAGATCTTTGAGTTAAGTTTGAATTTTATATTTTATATAAACCAGGTATTTTTTAAAATTGTAATCCAGTTTCAAGAATCTTGTTAGAGGTGATATTGAGCATACTCATATTTTCACATGCTAAATTTTTAAATTTTTGTTCTTTTAACATGCATTCTATTAGTTCTAAATCTAATGATGACTGTTAAAAATGTAGGAAAACGTTTATTTTTCGATTAGTTAAATCTAATTTCCTGTTGGTTGTTGGTAATTACATATTTTAAAATAAAATTAATGATTTAATTTCATTATGACTCATTAAATCATAATTTAGTAATTATTTTATACCATAAATTTATCAAGAAATATAGAATAAACATAAAATTTTTTGATTCATATTAACTCTGATCTAAATGTAATATAAGATGCTTAAAGATTAGTTAAGAGTCTAACTATATTTCTACATTGAAAATATATAAAATACAAATAGTATATTCATAGATCAAAAATATATTTAATGCTTAAATTATATAAAATCTACTTTTTCAATGTTTTGATTAAATATATTTACACAATTTAATTTTCAATTTAAAAAAAATGTTTAAATAATGACAAAATTCATTAATTCAAAAAAAATATCAAAAAATATATTTAAAAATTTTTTAGTTCAAATAACTTAGTAATTTAAATGTTGGCATTTCATTAACAATTAAATGTAGCAAACTTACATTCTAAAAACAATGCATTATTAAGACTATTAATAAATCAAACATTTATTGTTGAATAGAATAACAGATAATGAGTCAGATAATCTTACATAAATATGATAATAAATAGTTAAGTTTAAAATTATCACAAATCTTATCCTGTACATTATATTATTCTGATATAAATTCCAAAATTGTCATATTTTATAAATCATTTAACATAACGTTTAATGAATGTATTGTCTATTCTTTATACATATATAGAATAATTATGCAAATTGTTCATTTTATGAAAATAATGTGGAGAAACTATAAATTATTTTAAGTAATTTTTGAACACTATATACTGCTGTTTTCATTTTCTCCATCCATCATCATATTAATTCACGAAAATTCTCTCTCTAAAAATCAATCATCTAATCCAATAAATCAATAATCTCAAATGAAATAAAGCTAATACATTCAAATTTTCATATTATCTGATTATAAATCAAAGTTGGCATCATACAGAATTTTGTAAATTCTAAATTCTATGTGATGCTTCAAAAAAGTTGTTCAAATCTATAATTTTTCACAAAGAAAATTCTGAAATTAATTCTCAACATAGCCATCCAACGATAGTACTCCTTTTGCCTATATTCTGAAATTAAGTTATTTGAATTCTTATAAAATCTGGGCACAAATAATGTATTCTATTTTCAACTATATTGGTTAGAAAAATAAAATTTCAATTTTTATAAATAAGAAATATTGACAACTTCCTTAACCAGGGCAGTAAATGTACACAAACCTGATGAACAGTTGTCATGAACAGCAAGAGAAGCAAAATTACTATTTACAATTTGTAAGGAAACATTTTGCTAAACAAAGTACTCCACTTGAGCTATGGTCTATAACAAAAATTGGTACACACACTGTGATAGACAAGTATGCCTCATTTAACTCAAAACATGGAGGCAGTAAATTTAGGCACATCCTACATTCATATATAATTACTATTTTATGGATCCTCCTTATGAACATAAACATCAACAACTTGTCTAGGTATCAATGTGATGTAGGCATAATAAAGGTTTTGTGAAATGTTGGTCCCTCACATCTTTGAATACTGTCTTCAGCTGATCTTTTCTTCAAGGTCTGTGTTTTCACATTTATTTCTTGTGAACTTGCCACAGTCTTGATTGGGTTCAGATATTATTGAGCCAAATAGTGGTAGAATGAACATTATGCAGCTTAGCAAGATTATGTTGGAAGATTGACTTTTTCTGCAGATGTAGACAGATTACAGAGGGCAAAGAATACTAATGCAAAATTACTTGTTAGTGTTTACATTAGCAGACCTATCAAATGGAACTAACTTAAATCATTAATTAAATCATTAAATCATAATAATATTCAAAAAACTCCCATTTTTACACTATAGCTGAAAATTTGACTTTTTCTTCATACAGTTTTAGGTGGATCTTTCATTGGGCTGTGTGATAACTCTCCATTCAATATTTTTACATAGGACTAAGAAGGAAAACTTGTCAGACCAAACTTCCCTTTACCATTGAGTTTCCATCCAGGCAAGTGGTCCCTGGTCCATGGAAATAGTTTTCTATGTTTTTTTCCTCACTACTAGGTGCATTAATAGACACAAGGCATTTTACATCATCTTTATTGTGAATCTTCTATAGGCCAATACGCGTTTCGGGCAAAGGCCCCTCATTTGTCAGCATGACATCCAAAATTTTCTTTAGGTTGTGTTGATACATATATATTTTTTCGTTTAAAATTATGTATTTACAGTTAAAATCGTTAAAATATCATTGCAGTTTAAATTATATTTATGATTTTAATTTACAATTACAGTGAAGGTTTCATTGTTCGACGTCTAGCATTTTCCAGCACAGTGGTTCTCAACTTTTTTTGTTGATGTACAGTACCCCATTAGCCCATTAGTTGTTTCTCAAGTACTCCTTATATTTTTGTATGTAAATTTCATAATTACTGTGTTAGATGTATATAGCCCTTATAACCTTATAACTAAGTGCCATAAAAAACTCTAACTATAACTAAAAATGAATTACTTATTTTACGTAAATAATAATAAATTTATAAATATCTGGTGTGGTAGCTGATGAATACATAGATTTAGTATATGTCTCTTTAATCCGAATTAGTAAAAACAGTAGACTTTCTCTCAGCTATAAGGTTAGGTACTCCTTTATTGTAAATCACAAATGCACTTCAGGCTTATATGAGCCCCTCTTCAGTGTAAATGCTACACATATAAAGCATAAAAAGCAAAAAATTAATTAATTTACAAATTTTTCACACGAAGATGATTTTTACAGACAATAAATAAATCCTTTTACATACCTCAAAAGACAGAGTAATGCTTTTCTAATTGTACGACTCTCACAATATTTTATACAATCCAAAAAAAAAAAAAAAACACATGAATGTGTATTGAATGACACTATTACACAGGTACAATTAAAAACCTTAAAACAATAAATACACATTATTACCTTATATATTATTACAATAACAATAACATGGTACCTTCTTACTTATACATGCAGTGACATGCATTGCATGATAGGGGTATGATCCAGGCCTCATTATTCCTAATACTAGTAGTCCAGTAAAAACAAGAAAAGCTCCAATCTCATTGAGCAATAATTATAGAATAGAATAAAAAAATTTTTTCTATTCTAAAATTAATACTCAGTTAAGCCATAATTTTACTAGACTACAAGTTCACTTGGCACTAACTGCACAAATAGATGAGCAAATGAAGTGAATAAACAAATTGTTTGGACTGTTAAAAGGGAAATCAGTGTTCATACTGGGATATTTTAAAGCAAGTTTTCGTTTCTTGTTTCTTGTGTTAATAATTTACAGCAAATTGATTAACATACATAATTTTATAATGAAAGTTAGATGTACCCCTTCGATTGTACCCCCTGGTTGAGAACCACTGTTCCAGCATATACTTCCAGCTCTATTAATGCACCTAGTAGTGAGGAAAAAAACAAGGAAGACACGATCTCGAAAATACATATATAGTTTTCTATGTTGAACTGGCATAACATGGGCTTCAGCTTACTCTTGTACAAGCCATAACTTGTGTCATGTAGCCTGTTGCTAGAGTTTGTCAAGTTACAGGATGAT